TTATGTGCTAGACGGATTTGTAAGTAAGAGGAAATATTAAGGGCAAACTTTACTGTTTTGGTCATGTGTAATCTACTTTCCTAATATTTAGAAATGATTACATAATTCCCACGTGATTTGTGAATTGAAATGCACTACTAAAATTCCGTTTAACTTAACAATAAGTGTGAAATACATGACAAATATAAAGGGGTTATATATTCAGTTTCAAATTTTAATGAGATAAATCGCACATGAAATAAAGTATAGCAGTTAAAATACACTTTACATTCCAAACAAATGACGCAAATGCAGGGATATGGGACGATCAAAATATTGTCATCGTGTTGATCCGAATATGAAAATATCGTTCTCTCTATACGCAATGGGAAGGATGAAATTCATATGGGGAGAGGATTGCATGGAGTTTAAGCCAGAGAGATGGTTATCCGAGCGAGGAACGATCAAACACGAGCCATCTTACAAGTTCTTGGTGTTCAATGCAGGACCGAGGACTTGTTTGGGAAGAGAAGTTGCTTTTACTCAATTGAAATTGGTTGTTGCAAGTATGATACACAACTACCAAGTTCAAATGGTGAAAGGACACACTGTGGCCCCTAATGTTTCCGTCATTCTCTATATGAAGCATGGCTTGAAGGTTAAAGTTACCAAAAGATGGTCTTGAAGCAGTCAAATTTTACTAGTGTTGTTTTGGGGTTCTATATATGTTGTTGAATTTTACTGCGTTCAGTTTCCCTTTTTATTTCTAAAAGTATAGGCTTTTTCATGTTTTGATGTATGCAATCAATGCTAGTATAAAATATGAGAAAAGTTAGGGATTAGGAAAGTTTTTTCATGAAAATTATCATGAAAGATTTATGATTTGTGGATTATCTTGATTAGTGTGTGGTGCTTTATTTTAAGTGTAATTCAAGGGTTACAAACCTTTCATGATTATTTCCATGCAAGGTTTTTTATGATAATTTGAAGTTGAATAAATGCACAGCAGAGAGTGTGCCAGAGTATCTGAATATACTATAGATTTTGATTGTTGTTTTTCTTTCAGTATCTTAATTGTTTAATCCATGTGTGTCAGTGAAAAAATTTGTGAGGCCTTAAGCTAAAATTTAAAAATTTATGAAATTTTTGTTGTTTTTCTTTCAGTATTTTGATTGTTGTTTTTTTTAGACAGTTATTTTGATGGTTGTTTAATCCAACACAATCTTAACTTTCTAATTTTCAATTACCTACTCGCAAAGACTAAAAATCAAAATGATTTCTGGATTAATTAAATCATCTACACCTAATTTTCAATTACCTACTCACACTCCATCTCTAATATCTGGATTTCTAATTTATGACCCAAAAATGAAAAAATAAAAAATTAGACCATTATTTACTCTTGAAGGATTTGGACAAAATTCCCTCATGATAAAACTTTAATACATTAAGGACAAATATAAAAAAATTTCCTTCAAAAGTCCAGCATACAATACTATTATCAAAATATCCTTAGTGACTAATTTAATATTTTAAACTTTAAAATTATATAACTTTTGATTTAGATATCGATTTTTAATAAATTAGTATTTTTAGAATCTTCTCATCAAAATCTGTCAATCATGATCTATATTGACAATGAAATTTAAAAAAAAAAAAAAAAAATTATTGTCGAAATTGATATAAACAATAACATTTTACTTTGTTTCATAAGAACATTTTACTTTATTTCACAGTAACATTTTACTCTGATTCATAGTAAAATGTTATTCTGTTTCACAATAAAATTTGTATAACATAAAAAATAACTCAATAACACATTACCAAAGCAAATTTTTACTGTAATTCTTGAAAGAAAAAAAGTACATATTAAAAGAGTAATAACAACAACGAAAATGACTGGTAGCTCGAAAAAAGTGGCCCGATTTTTGTTCGAATTCAAATTCGAAGACAGAAACAGAGGAGAAGGAGAGAAGAGAGGAAGAAGAGAGGAGAAGAGAAAGAGGAGGAGAGAGGGAGAGAGAGGAGGAGAGGAGATCATCGCAGCACCACCGCCGTCGCCTCCGGCCCCGCCTCTGCCTCCTCCTCCCTCTGTGATTATGCCCCCTCCAGTCCTCCTCCTCCTCCTCCTCCTCCTCCTTCCTTCTCTTCTCCTTCTCTTCTTCTCCACCCTTCTTCTTCTTCTTCCTTTTGCAACAAAAACACAGAAAAAAAAAAAAAAAAAAGATACTAAAACGACGTCGTTTTGGTGTCGAGTCAAATTCGGGCCAAACTCTTTCGAGGTACGTAGCGGAGTCGTAACAACAATTAAAGATAAAATTTTACTTTTATATGTACAAACTAATAAACAAACACCATTACAAATAACACACAACAAAAACAAATCTAAAGAAGAAGAAGAAAAAAAAACTAACAATTAATCGAAATTCTACACCATCTGTAAATTTTTTTGACAATTATTCAATCTTCATCGAAACCTTCAAAAAAAGCCAATTAATAATGATAATCGGAAGCTCAATTGCAGTTCATATATTAATTTTAGAATTTTTGAAAAATATCTGATAAAAAAAATAAAAAAAAAAAGAAATTAGGAAAAATTGGAGATGCGCTCTAAGCTCTCACGCTTTCATTTTGAAAAATATCACCATGACATCGCTCCGTCCTCGAGTCAACATCACACCTCTCCAATTACAAACAGCAAACACCACAATCACAAGCTCTAACCCATATACGGGTACACTGCAGGAAATTCAGCTTTTAGTGGCGTTTAAAAAACGCCGCTAAAAGTGCCAAAAACGCCACCAATTCTTTTTGTGACGCTTAGCACCAAACGCCGAGAACGCGGCCGTCGCTATAACTTTATGGCGTTTTAAAAACGTCGTGATATTAGTATAGGCTGTCCTCCTAAACACACGCTGACGTCACTGACGATATTTAGCGACGTTTTTTGAAAAATGCCGTCATATCTTTTTAAACAAATATGACCGTTAATATGTAAGGTTTAAGAGGCGTTTGTAAAAACGCCGTCATATCCTCTTTTTTTTTTTTTTGAAAATTGTATTAATTTTATTTGATTGAACTAAAAAAATATCTGTGATCGCTCTAATATAAAATAACAACTCCCATTCAAATAGTTGTAATGAAGCATTAATTCACTTTCTCATTCAATTAATATCCAATCACCATTACCCACAAAATTAACATATCCAAAATCCAAAACGTTAACCACAAACTAACATATATCCAAAAATCATGTCTTAACATTAACCACAAACTAACATATATACAAAAATCATGTCTTAGCATTAAAGTTGTAGTCTTCACTGGTCTACATGCCTGCATCATAACATAAACTGTAATGAGATTCACCAAAATAAACACAAATTGAAGAATTCGTACCCAATACTTATAAATAGTACTTAAAACTTGAAGAAGCACTAACAAGAAGATTTTATCACATACCAAGAAGCACTAAATACATATAAAGAAAAAATAAAAATAAAAATAAAAATGCTATTCAAATTTGAATCCAACCAAAAATCTGGGCCAATGTTGAACAGGTCTATGATGAACAAATCTAGAACTTTAATTGACAATAAAAAAAATAATTGATGTCACCGCCTGATGCTCTCCAATTCAGCAAAACACCATTCTTTCTAAAAAAATTGCAAAAATTGCCAACAATTTCTTCAATGTATGATCAATTTCACACGAGAGAGTATTCATGAACTCAAATCCAGGCAAGAGGCTACAAAACTCATAAAAAACAAGAAAGAGAATACAAGATCATTGAAGCTTGAAATACCCATTAAAGTTGTAGTCTTCACTGGTCTACATGCCTGCATCATAACATAAACTGTAATGAGATTCACCAAAATAAACACAAATTGAAGAATTCGTACCCAATACTTATAAATAGTACTTAAAACTTGAAGAAGCACTAACAAGAAGATTTTATCACATACCAAGAAACACTAAATACATATAAATAAAAAATAAAAATAAAAATAAAAATGCTTTTCAAATTTGAATCCAACCAAAAATCTGGGCCAATGTTGAATGCTTATTGTTGAATGCTTATTGTTGAATACAGTTTGTAACACAAGAAAGACTAGAAACTTACAGTTTGTAGCATCATCCTCATTCATTCCCAAGAAGAGAGAAGCATCTTGAATGCTTATTGTTGAATAAGCAGCTAGCAGTAGCTGAAACATCTTTGTGGTGTAAACATCTGCAAAAAAATGATCAAAAGATAATTTTGACAACAAAAAGTGCCATAAGGTAAAACTTCTCTCAATAGAGGAAGATAACAAGAGTCATTGCCTCTTAACTAATTCAGGACCCTATACATAAACAAAAAAACAAAGTAACAAACCCCCATCTCCACCTCCAAGGTTTCCCCACACACAACAATTACATCATTTAATCGGGGAATTGAAATATATGTTGGAGTATCTTGAGGCGTTCTTACAATATTAATCATTTCATGGTTGATAACATATCTCAACATGGCATATCTCATAATATACCCATGCATCATATCTATCTATTTATGGAGAGAGAGGAAACTACGTACCCTGTTTCCTTAAAAGAAAACTCCTTCAGTTTTCTAGCCAACTCAATTTCAGTAGCTGCAGCTCTAGGTACTATACAACTGTCCCTGCACATTGCCTAGCACAAAGATGCATAAAGCCACATTCAGATTAGCTTCTTAAGGTCCAGTAGAAACTGATGCAATACTTTTTATAAAAGATGACCTACCTAAAATAAGTATCGTAGATGTGTTGGACAGAATTACCTTGTATGTATTCACACCATCATCAACTGCTCTTTCAAGGTCATCTAATATACTATCAGTACTTCCTCATAGGACCACAGTGCATACAAAGTTTCCACTTTCTTCATTTCTCACAATGGTGACCTATTATTTATTAGATATAAAGATCATGTTGGGGAAGAAGATGAAGAAACGTAAGGAAAAAGCCCAAAAACATAAAACCAAAAGCAGCGTGATCATACCCTAACCAAAAGCAGCATCTTCTCTTATCTAGAAAGAAAAACCACACAAAAAACTTAAGCAAACCACATAACCATTTCACAAAAATTCAAACAACATAATTGACATAACAGCTTTACCTGGAGGTTTCTTTGGCTTGGATCCAACAAATCAGTGATTTGTTCATTGTAAATCTGTACATACCAATTTTAAAGGATTAAGTAAATCTAGAAATTAACCTAAAATGTTCATATTTATGTCAAGTAATAAATCCAATTACTTAACCTCAAGAAAAGAACAGCGGCATTGATACATGAGTTGCTTGTCAGCATGCTTAATTTGCTCCTATGATTAAAAAAAGGGTTAAACAAAAAAAAGCACAAAAATTATAAGAATGTTGCCATCAACAAGTTACATAATGAAAAGAATATAATCACACCTCATTTATGCAGGCAAAAAGGAAATTTGTCAGCTTCTACAACACCACCACTTCCTAACTGCCAAAGAAAAAAATTTGTTCCAAAAAAAGTTTTGAGAATTTAAATAAATTATCATATTTGATTTTAGAAAATTAGGTTCACTTTTTAGGAAATTAAATTTCTTGATGGCAAGAAGAAGATTTCCGTAATTAGGTTCATTGATGGCAAGAAGAAGATTTCCGTAATAAAGTAAAACTAACATTGCTTTTTGTATCTTGAAACATTATAAAATCTCTCTCTTGAGACATTAGGACATGTAATCAACATTTATAACAACTTAATGAGACACATTACACAATCCAAGCCACCAAGATCAGAATAATGCATGAAAGACATGAGGAAGAACAATCAGACTTGAAGGACTCATAATTGGTAACAGAACAAAAAAACGTAGCGGATAACCTCTGCTCCTACAGTGAGAACCCGCAGGAAGGTACCTCTTTCCACAGACTCTCTCTCCAAAAATCACACATCAGAAAGATGGCAACATAGCATTTAAATTTAATCTCTCATGCATGAAATGGGTGAGGAAACAAATGAAACTACATTTGCTTCTCTCTGTTTTTTATTCAATTACATTGACATCGAAACTGCAGTGTTTTTTCTGAACTAGAAACATCTGAGAGCATAAACCAAAGGAAAAAAAATCAACCTGACATTCTACAGAAAAAATTAATAAAAAACACTGCATACTTGCCATCAAATCCAAGGAAAATTAATAAAAAACACTGCATACTTGCCATTAATTAGAAAAAATTAATCAACCCGACATTCCCTTCCTTCGGTTTTTTCTGGAAACTTGACATACTGTCATACTTGCCATCAACTCCAAGGAGATATGAGATTTGCTATCTGAATAAGAACCTCCATGATCTGCAAAATTGTGGGGGAGAAGAGGCAACGAAAATTCAGGATACAATATGAAATTTTACTACTGAATCTGATCTAACCATATGTTAATGTTCAATCATCATATATTTTGTTGAAATTTTAAAGAGTAAAGAATTAGATTTAGGCATGCATGCTAAAAAACAAGTGGCCAAAAAAGTTACCCAGAATGCATTGGATGCCTTGCCAAGTATGCAGTACTGATAGCTTCTCTATCATTTTCAGAGACCTGCATTGTTTATCAAAACAAAAAAATATTTGAATTTAAGTGCTCTAATTGAGTTCAAAGGGGGATAGAATGCATTGAGAATAGACTAACAGAAGCAGCAATCAAGATCAGAATGACACATCATCCAAAAATCAGAAGTCATTAACATACAGAAACAACATCACCGTGCAGGGTTATAATTAAATCAGTCCTATCCTCAGGATCTTTTGCTACAAGCAAAGAGCATTTTGGATTAGCTACAAGGTCCTGCAAAAAACAACGAGTATCAACTAATTAAGTAACTTTCCATAAACTAGAAGATCCTAAAAAAAAATTTAAATATAAAAAATGCTGCAAGTATTTCATAGCAAAGTTTTGAAGTCCTATGCTAATAAGGAAAAAGAATACAGACAGGACACCTGTGCTAACGAAAAATTAAGTGATTACAATATTCTGAATTTCAACTTATCGAGCTTATCACTAACATATAAGAAGGCACATTCAAAAAGACTCCAAACCAAACCAAACTAAACCATGTATCTTAATCAAGTAATGGTCGGCTACATGAATCCTTTTTCGCCATTCCGCCTTTTTAAGGACTATATGCTCAATAAAACAACTTAAATTAAATAAATGCATATCAAGTTTATCACTAAAATATAAGAAGGTGCATTTAAAAATAACGAATTCAAAAATTAATTTACCTCCCAAGCATCACCAGAAAAACTAATCCTAATAACCAAAATTTAAGAATTTTCTATTCCAAAGAGCATTCAGCATTACTTTTGCTGTCTCTTAACAAACAGCTAAACAGGAATTGAGTAGGAATATAAAATTTACAAGCTCCTGCAACTGTACAGCTAAACTTCGATTGTCATTCTACCTGTCCTTGTGAACCAAAGAGAGAGACAATTCACAGTCGTGCACATCAAGGCATCTCTTTGGATGCCGCCATTTAGAACAATTTTCAAGATATATATATATATATATATATATTATCCAATTAGTACACATATGATAACAAAATTCAAAATTTTGCCAACCTTCGTATGAACTGCCAAGCTGCTGATTGCTAATATTGGAGATCCATAGGCATCACAAGCGAAGTCAACCATTGAACCAGATGGATAACCCTCATACTTCTGCATGTTAAAAAGGAATTGCGATAATCTTTGAAAATAATGGATATAGCTGACTGAAAATAATGAAAATAAGTATTTCATTTTTATTTTTATTTTGGATGAGCAAGTAATAAGTATCTCATGACAATCAAATGGTTAATCAAATTCATAATTGGCAGGTTTTCTGATGTACATGGCAAAACTGAAAAGTCAAACTCAATATTCTCTAGTAAAAAAATAAAGAAAAGTACAAAAGACTTTGAAGGGAATTGAAACTTCAGAAAAAAACCAAAGCACTGTAAATTTATAGTTATCACAGCCAGAGCACAAGTCAGTAGACAGTGAACTTAAACTGCGTATACATTATTTGGATCCGACAACTTCGGACTCACTTTTTGTGTGTGTGTGTGTGTGTGTGTGTGGGTGTGTGCAAGAATTCATTTATGCCGTCATGGTTTATTTTTATTTTTAAAAAAACTTTCTTAGTACTTTACGCCAACATAATTTTCTCTGTGATTACTATGCATCAATTTGTCACTGCTCTATGCACAACATGAAACAACAACATTCACTCCGAATGTTTTTTGTACCTGTGGAATTCCTTTGCATGCATTGGAAAACCTCTGCAGTTGTTGCTTGTCTGTTTTTTGTATCAAGACACTAAACAATACTACAATTATTTTTTTATAACGTATATATATTATATACAATAATTATAATATATGCAAGCACTATTTTTTTTCTCTCCGTATTTTCGAATTAGATCCGAAGAAAAAATGATGATCAAATATTTTAGCTCTGTATGTAAGAGAGGATATCATGTTTTAGTCCATTAACATGAAGTCGTAGAGTGGGTAGGTACAATATACATACGTATATTACAGCTTCATCATCTTCCATTGTAGACCATTGGAGTTCTCTAGTTCACTAGACAAACTATAATTTCAGTGCAACTATCAAATTACAAGTGAGCCATATGTCTTGATAATAAATGAGCTTATAAATGCGGCATTTTGGTAGTGACCCTTTTGGGATTACGAGCATAGCGGAGAAGTCATTAACATACAGAAACAACATCACCGTGCAGGGTTATAATTAAATCAGTCCTATCCTCAGGATCTTTTGCTACAAGCAAAGAGCATTTTGGATTAGCTACAAGGTCCTGCAAAAAACAGCGAGTATCAACTAATTAAGTAACTTTCCATAAACTAGAAGATCCTAAAAAAAAATTTAAATATAAAAAATGCTGCAAGTATTTCATAGCAAAGTTTTGAAGTCCTATGCTAATAAGGAAAAAGAATACAGACAGGACACCTGTGCTAACGAAAAATTAAGTGATTACAATATTCTGAATTTCAACTTATCGAGCTTATCACTAACATATAAGAAGGCACATTCAAAAAGACTCCAAACCAAACCAAACTAAACCATGTATCTTAATCAAGTAATGGTCGGCTACATGAATCCTTTTTCGCCATTCCGCCTTTTTAAGGACTATATACTCAATAAAACAATTTAAATTAAATAAATGCATATCAAGTTTATCACTAAAATATAAGAAGGTGCATTTAAAAATAATGAATTCAAAATTAAATTTACCTCCCAAGCATCACCAGAAAAACTAATCCTAATAACCAAAATTTAAGAATTTTCTATTCCAAAGAGCATTCAGCATTACTTTTGCTGTCTCTTAACAAACAGCTAAACAGGAATTGAGTAGGAATATAAAATTTACAATCTCCTGTAACTGTAAAGCTAAACTTCGATTGTCATTCTATTTTTTTTTTTTTTTTTTTTTGAATTACATGTTTGATAGGAGATATACATGCTCATATATATTTTGAAAGTTACTTATTTTAGAAAGAAAAAGAAGAAGAATAAGAAGGAGGAGGAGGAGGAGGAGGAGGAAAAAGAAATAGATATTCAAAAATTCTTTACAATTTCAAGGTTTGATATGATATATATACACACACACTCATATTTTTTTTGTATTATCTTCAAGTTTTCTAGGATATATACACACTCATATATTTTTGCCTTAACTTTGAGTTTTTTTTTTTTTTTGAATTTTTAGTTAATTATTTTTTTTCATGTTTATAAATCTCTTTGATTGCAAAGTCTTTCAATTTGTGTTTAATTATTTATACATTTAATTTTTTTTAATTTATATTCAGTTAAGAATATTGAGTTTAGCCAAAATTATTTTTATATTCAACTTTTTTTTAAAATCTATATATTCAATTTTTTTAATGCACTAATTTAAACTTATATTTATTTTACAAGTTTGCACACGCATCACGTGTATCCGGCCATTAGTCCTGAAAAAAGAAGAAAAAAAGAGAGTAATGCGACACTTATTATTTTTGTGTGTTAACACAGTATTGATGCAATGTATTTCATTATTAATGTCTATTTTCAATGTAATAATGACATATAAGGTGATATATTTAAAATAGTATATAAAAATGATAAGTGCTACACTACTGTATTTAAATAAATAAAAAATAACATAGGGACAATTATTTTTAAAAAAATCAGGGTTTCACTATTGTAACAAAATAAATTATGACTTTTTAATTTTGTCAATTGAAATCCTAATTTTTTTTTAATTTTCAATTTAAACTGATTGCCAATTTTTGTTAAGTAAAATCGATTAATTTTTTTTAATATTTTAGCCATTAAACTTAATAAAAAAATGTATTTTAGACATTTTATGTATATATCTACGTCAAGTTTAATAATTAAAATATTTTTTTCATTGAGCGTACTTCACAAAAATAAGCGAATGTTTACATTAAAAATAAATCAAAATATTAGAATTTAAATTGACAAAATTAAAAATTTAGAATTTATTTTCCTAATAATATACAAAGGTGAGTATAGTCCTACTCTAAAAAAATAAAATTAAAAAAAAAAAGTATTAAGATCTTTTACCCTTAAAAAAAAAAAAAAGACTTTTTTTACCTCTATTAGGTTCCTCACAGATACATCATTTTGACAAGTTAGTTAAAAGTTAGTTTTTTGACTTTTTGATATTTTTGAGTTACATCACTTTTTTATTTTTTTTACATATTTTTTTCAAAAAAATTAAAAAAAATTAAAAAATTAATTTTTAACCAACTTTTCAAAACACCCAAATAAGCACTGTAGTGCGTCTCTACTCTCTAGTAGTTCTTCGGTGCCGGGGATATTGCTCTGTGGCAAGCTAGCTACTCCCCTCCCTGAAATATGTTTGCTCTTCCTTCTCTGTATTTCTCTTCCAAGTCTTCTTTCTCTCAGATTTTCATAATTAAATTTTTTTCATTTTATATTTTCCCTTCCTTTTGATTACAATCGTTTGGATTTTGTTAAAAATTACTTTTCCAGTTAAACTTTGTTTTCCTTTTTTTTTAAAAAAAAATTTGCAAAATTTTTATTTTTACTTTTATTTGTGAACGATTTGAATGTATTGGTTGAATCAATTTGGCATTTGGGTTCACTAAGAATCAAATTTTAAACAAAATTTTGAAAAAACTCTAATATTAGGCATCATTTGGGAAAAAGTAATTTTAGTAATTTTGAATTTTTGATTAAAATATGAGGTTAAACAAATTAATATGTTTATATAAGATAATTTTTTAACTTTTTATGAAAAAAATATGTAAAAAGTAGAGAGAATGAAATTTTAACTTTTTAATATAAATTGTTAGCTTTTTAAAAAAAATTTATTGTGACTTTTTGATTTTAGGCTAAAAGATTGAGTTGCAAAACATGCCTACTTAGACCATCTCCAACGGTTCACCAAACTTGATATCAAATTTAAATTTTGATGAAAAAATTACTGTTTGGTGCTCCAACGGTTGCACCAAATCGATATCAAAATGAGATTTCACAAAACGATTCATCAAACTGAGAACAGGCTTCGCATTTCACCAAAACACTGTACATGACCGTTGGGGGAGACGAACCGGTCGACTAGCAGGTTGACCGGCCGGTTGACCAACTGGTTGTCCATGAAAAAGTTCAAACAGTTTAACATTTCTGGTTCAAACAATTAAAAAAAAAAAAAATTTGGGCTTACCGGTCGACCAACCGGTTGTCCCGAAAAGAGTTCAAACAATTCAACATTTCTGGTTCAAACAATTCAAAAAAAAAAAAAAAAATTTCCCCTCA